GTTTATGTATATACATAAAAGGAAACAAGGCTTGAAGGGATTACCTTAATTAAAAGCTAAAGAATTAAGACTCCTTTAACAAACTCTCAGTTCACTTAAGTAATCTATACCATTCTTAATATTCAACCAAGTTGCAATATAGACAATTTTACGGGAGTGGACTTCCAATACTTTCAAATAACTAAATTCTCTTTTACTAGAAATAAAAAATTCACTATCTTCCAATGGTAATCCTAATTAGCATAAGCTCCGCTAATCGAGTCTATAACCAAGATGACAGTGAAGTAATGGATAGCAAGGATGAAGAATTCTAAGATAAGTATCACCCCACATATACTCGATTAGTCACTTACCCCTAATAGGGGTGCCAACACGTAATCTATATTCTAAATGATCAACAAAATTTTGAAAACACATGCAAAGCTAATGATGCATTGATGTCCCATTACTATACAAATCCCCACTTTTGCTCACCACGTGTCTAGGCTTAGTTTTGCTCACCACGTGTCTAGGCTTAGAACCCTAAATTTGGCCCAAAAGATTTCAAACGTAAGCTCTGATACCACAAAATTTGTCACGCCCCAACTCCAAGGTCAAGACGTAACAAACGCCACACATCTATAGGGATGACCCCATAAATGTGTAAGGCTACCTTAACTAAACAACTTTTAGTGTCCAAATGCAATTAACTTAAATTCTATAAGAAACTCCATCTTTATTAACATGTACGAGAAGTTGGTCAAATCCAAAACACTTAATCCTCACTTTATAAAATCCAACATAAAATTTAATAGCAATAAGTCATAGCAAATAGATCTTCAATTATAATTATTCCACAATCCAAAATAACTTAAAACTAAACCAAAGAACTACTCTAGAATCATTGTGCCTCTCACTCCCAAATGCAACCCCAAATGCTTACTCGTCTGTACCTGAAATGAGATGAGATTTTAAAAGCATAAGCTAGACAGCTCAGTAAGAGTATACCCATCTAGTTCGATCAAGCATTGTATTTCAATGAAATAATAATTAAATAAAGTAAACAACTTTTCAATCAGGAAATCACATTCCAAACTAGATGAAAAGAAACAACAATTTCAAGTTCTTTAGGCTGCATCACACTCCAAATATAGCATCACACTCCACATCACACTCCATGATAAATAGATCCCGGGACTACTATCAATACCCTCAGTATACCCTTGAGGAACGGGTTAATTTATCCAGCCAACCAAGAACATGAAAACCCAATATCAAAAGAAAAATTATTTCCAATTTAATAAACCACACTTTTCGATAGAAAACAATCCACACTCAAAATGCTTGATCAACATTCATCTTATTTCATTATAAAATATTCTTATTCTTAAGACATAGTAACCAAATAAAATTATATAAAATACGCTGAAAAGGTAAAATAAATTTCAATAAAACAAACCTTTTAAAAATAATACTAGAGGATATAACAACTTACCTCAAATAATTAATTAATTTTTCACTCGACACTGCCTCTTGAATTATTTAAAACTTTCGTACTATCTTCTTTGTTAGAATTGAAAAGATGTACAAATCGTAGGCCATTTTGCTAGAATTGAATCCTAAAATTTCCTCAATTCGACTAATCCAGCAATCTATCGGATGAAAGCCCCTTTCTATGCTTTCACAAATGAGCGACAACACCTTCATAAGTGGGCGGTAGCATTCCCAAATTTCTGCCAACCCCTAGCCCGTTTCCTATTTAGGTATTTGTGAGATAAATGAGGGCCTAATGAACAAATATTGAGAAAAGCTTTTAAATTCCATCCTTTAATCATATAAATCTGAGTTTAAGAAGGCAAATTACCTTGGATTTAATCTACTATGGCCAAATCCCTAAGCCACGTTCCCATTTGCAGGCGGAAGAAAGGTGACGATCCTATTTCCCCAAAAAGAAAGTGAGAAAAATAAAACTGCCGACTCACTTGATTTGGGGCTTTTACAAAAAGGAAATATTGTTAATTGGTCCCTAAGCTTTAATTATAAGGTTCTAGTCCCTGAGTTCCTTACATCGTTATAATTTCAACCCCAAATTTAATTCTATCACATATACACCCTCTAAGAGCTTAAAGAGCTTAAATAATTTATTTAAATCTTAAGTAAGAAGTCTTTGGGTATTACAATATGTTTAGTTCCAACATATAACACGCTTGTGTGGAAAATTAGTAGTAGTATATGAACCTTCCAACAATATGGATTAAGCTATGAAACATCATACACATTAAATGATAAATCGCATTTTTTGCATTTGAATCAAGCAGGAAAATTAAGAAAGGAGGTGATAAAAAGCAGAGACAAAGATGAATTTGATTAAGAATAAAGAGTGCTTGTAGTACTCCATGATACATGGTAGATAACCCACCAAAAACAAATTACACAAACAAAAAAGGCTTAGTAATTATATAGAGATGAATTTCACAACTTGTTGTAGTTACAACTTACAACATTGCATAAGATAATTGTTTACACCATAAATTGCATTTTTCAAGTGATGCCACGTGTTAATGGATAAGGTGAAATCAGATCTACTGAAAGGATGCATATTTGTAAAATTGGTTGGGAGGATAAAGATTATCCGGTTGGTTGCAGTTTAAATTTTTAAAAAATAAAAATTCCTAGAGTTTAGGTGGAGGTGTAGTTGAGGAGTTATCCATGATGTGATCAGCTAAGACACAGTTCGCAAGAAACATATAAATAAAAGCTTGTTGATTTTTCAACAGATATGGCCAGCCCTA